TATAAGCACTTATCTTTCTGAGGACACCCTCCTGATGTGTCCTCTCCTCCCAGGATCACATGGCAACTCTCTTGACTACATTCCCAGAATCCTCCTCAACTCCTAGTCACACCTATCTTGCTTCCCTAGTGGCCAACAGTGCTTCATTTATCAACCAATAGGACATGTGCACAGCAGGACTTCCCCCATATCTCCTCTTTTCTGTCTAAATAAAAAGAGGTTTTAGCTTTAACATAGTAAAATATATAACAAGGCAGTTATTAAGCAAGAACTGTAAATGCAATATTTAGTCCATTAATGTAGGAAGCAAGCCACAGAACCTAGTGCAGGAGCACACTGGCTGTCTTCCAATGCCAGCAAAACCAGGGGTGACCTCTTTCCAAGACATCTCAGTCCCATGTGCCAGCCAAAATCTCCAATCCTATCTGTAAAGTTCATTCCCAAGGGTTTTCTGACCAAAATTTCCTTATTTCCCACAGGTTTCCAGGCAGTGAAGAACATGAAAGGTGACACAGCTGTCACCAGATGAAAACAAAAATCAGAATCCTCTCAGGCCTACTGTCTAACCAAGTAAGGATTTTTTTTTTACTAGAAAAGTGCATGGTGAAATATATATTTAAAAGGAAGCAAATGCTGGCTGATGGTGGGAATGCAACTAACAGGAACTATATTGAATCAGGTTGGGTGTCTCCTGTTCATGTTCTCTTTTCTTCTTTTTTCTTTTTCCATTTTAGTTTAACCATGGATCAATTTGCTGTGGTGAAACTCAATAATTGACTTGGTGAATCTGTATCAGCCATCTGCTATGGCTCTGCCAGGGAGACATTGTTATGATCTAACATCTCACCAAATCCACAGCTCTTCATTTTCATTTTTTATTTATGTATGTGTGTTTGTCTGTGTATGAGCATGTGCGTGTGAGTGTAGGTGTCTGTGGAGGCCAAGGGCATTGGAACCCCTGGAACTGGAGTTACAGGCAGTTGTGAGCTGCCCAGAATGGGTTCTGGAAACAAACCTTTGGTTGTTCTGCAAGAGCAGTATTCATTTTTAACTGCGGAGCTAGTCTCCAGCCTCAAATCCACAGTTTTTTTAAAAAAATATTTTATTTATTTATTGTGTATACAGTCTTCTTCCTGCATGCCAGCGGAGGGCACCAGATCTCATTCAAGGTAGTTGTGAGCCACCATGTGGTTGCTGGGAATTGAACTCAGGACCACTAGAAGAATAGTCAGTGCTCTTAACCTCTGAGCCATCTCTCCAGCCCCAAATTCACAGTTTTTAAGAAAACAGAATCAAACCATTTAGTGTTTGGCTAAATGTTTAAGAAGTTTCTTTTTTTAAAAAACACACTTTTTAAAAATGTGTCTGAGTGTTTTGCCTGTATGTGTGCACACTACCAGCAAGCAGCACCTGAAGCCAGAAGAGGGCATTGGCTTTTAAGGAATGGGAACTGGGATCCGGAACAGTTTTTTTTATTTATTATTTATTTATTTATTTGGTTTTTATGAGACAGGGTTTCTCTGTATTGTTTTGGAGGCTATCGGTCCAGCCCGGCCTCGAACTCACAGAGATCCGCCTGCCTCTTCCTCCCGAGTGCTGGGATTAAAGGTGTGCGCCACCACTGCCTGGCGGGATCGGGAACAGTTGTGAGTCCTCATGTTAGTGCCAGGTCATCTGCAAGAGCAGCCAGTGTTCTTAACCACTCACGGATCCAGCTCCCCAGCTCCAGTGTTTAAGATGTGTTTAAATTAGTTTAAGAAATGCCCCAGTTAGGCATGGTGACACATGCCTAAGTACTCAGGGGATGGAAACAGGAAGATCACAAGATTGAGGCTAACCTGGGCTACATAGTGAGATCTTGTTTCAAAAGAAGTAACTGAAAATTTAAGATTCTATTTCCCTCATTGGGAAAATCAGGAAACAAAATTCCTGAATAACAAGGAGGCTGCAAAGAATGAGCAGAAAGTGTCATATGGTACTCAACAAATATTTGTTAGCCATTATTATTATCTATGATTTCACTTTTGAGAAATCTGGCAGGATTTAAAACGTACCCCATGTTTCCATTGCTTTGAGGAACTGGATCCCAGTTTCCACCAATTTAGTTGTAAGTCTGCTCATATATATGAGGCTTGTTTATGTGAATTAGAGTTGTAGATGTAACTATAGGATATTTTCATGAAGCCATGACTGAGATTCAAAAAACGCAGAGGATCTAGAACATGCTTGACACCGCCATGAGGATGTTTCATGAAATCAAGACTGTGTCCACACGGCCTGAATTATGCTTTCCCCAAAGCCACGTGTCACGGCTCATCTCCAGCGTGGCTATTTGGCAGTAGAGCCTTTAAGGCGGTAATGAAGGCTAAAAGTATATTTCAGTTTAGTTATATATTTACTGACATATTTTTTTGAGACAGTAGCCCAAGCTAGCCTTTAACCCCTGATACTCTTGCCTCATTTTCCTGATTGTTAGGATTCTGAACGTTTACCAGAACACTCAACCAGATTACTGTTTTTCAGCAAGGGACACCAGGAAAAAGGCTACTCTAGATCTCTTGTGAGTCTACAGAAGAAAATCCTGTGACAGCACACTGAGAAGGTGACTGTCTGTCATTCAGGCAGGGAGGCCTTCCCAGGCACCAGCTCTACTTAAATCTTTATCTTAACTTAAAGCTGAGAGGGGAAGAGAGGAAAAAATAAACGTGTACTGTTAAGGCTACTCAGAATGCGTATTTTGTCACAGCAGCTTGGAATTTTTATTATTTCTTCTAGGTGTAACAAATTTATTGTCACAGTTTTGTAGAATGATTCATTATTGAGATTTTTACAGCTAACATGATGTGTGATCTGGGATTAGCTTAAAATAACATGGTACGTGTCAGTGAGGGGGAGGGGAAGGAGTACATGAAATGAGATTGCCTAGGAGTTAATTAGTGTTGAAGCTGGTGTTGGGTTTATGTGGCTTGTTTAAGGCTATATTCCCTCTACTTTTGTGTGTGTGTTTGAAATTATCCACAATAGATTAAAACTAGTGCTTTTCTGAAAACTAGAAAAATCATCAGCTTTTAGTGTCAACGGTAAGGAGAAATCCAGTTTATTTATAATGTGCTGATGGTGACAGGATTTTGTGAGCTGTAAAGATCTAGACAGTGGTGGATGGACAGAGCCTCCATGCACATACATGCAAGCTGAGGCCTTGCTATTAAAACAGCCAACCCAGCAGGCTTCGTTGGTACCTACACATGCATAGGGAGCCCTACTCCTGAGTGCAGCCGTCAGGATGGTCAATGGCCCAGTATTAATGCACATTTTGCTGCTGTGAAAAATATTTAGGGGGTGGGCTGGAGAGATGACTGAGCCATTAAGAGCACTCACTTGCTCTTCCAGCAAACCCAGATTCAAGTGCCAGCACTGACATGGTAGCTCACAACAGTCTGTAACTCTAGTTCCAGGAGACCTGATACCTTTGGCAAAACACCAATGGACATAAAATTAAGATAAATAAATTAAAAAAGAAAAATATGAGGATATTAGAGGAGGAAGGATGGCTTCTGGCCCATGGTTCCTGAGATTTCACCACAAAGCTGTCTGGCTCCTTGTGCGCGGCTATGGTGATGATGAGCATCATGGAGGTGGCCAAGTGTTGGTAGGGCTGTTCACTTCATGGCGGTGATGAAACAGGGAGGAAGGACAGATAGGAAGGAGCCAGGGTGAGATGCAGCCAGGAAGAATACACCCCAGTGACCCACATCTCCAGCTAGTCCTCACATCCTCATACAGCCCAGCACTTCCAAACAGTCCATTTCATTTTTCATTAATCCATTGATCCATTGAGGAAGGAGGTCAGAGCCGTCAGGATCCAGTCACTTCCCCATTATCTGGTAGCCCAGCACCCGATACACGACCCCATTGGTTCCATTTCATGTTCAAATCATCACCACCCTAAACTTTCAGAGCTTTCTTTCTTGTGGGTATGATTAACTAATATTAGTAAATTTTTGGAAACTTCTTTGCCTGATTGTGAATACTGTGATATGCTTGGTTGCAGAGGGTATCAGAAAAAGTATCTAATACACGGTGTCTTCCAATCTGAGAGGCCAATGTGTTGGGAGGAAAGAGCCAGCCTGGGAAGAGTAGAGTGTGTGCAGGTGAGGGAGAGGACAGTCTGGGCAAAGGCCCTACAAGGGCCTAGTAGGTTTGTTAAAGGAACTAAAGACAGCCAGGATGGCTGAGGTGTGGTGACCCAAGAAGCCATGGAGGGAAGGACCTAGAATGAGACCAGAGAAGTTTGCTAGACAATCTAGGCTGAAGATGGATGCCCCAATGTTGCAGAGGAACTTAAGGTGACTGTTCAGGCAAAAGTGTCTCTTTCAGTTCTAGAGTTCATATATTATCCTTCTGAGGTCTTTGATAAAGTTGAAGATAGATAGTTATGGTCATGGTTTTCCTTAGTTATGATAAGAGATAAGTTATCCATAAAACTTTAGACTCACAAAGATAGGATAGAAGATAGAATATTTTATTTAAATTTTGCCAAATGTTAATGGACTAAACATTGTCATCTATAGTTCTTACTTGATAACTGTTTTGTTATAAATAATTTTACTGTTAAAGTTAAAACCTTACTTTTTTTTTAGACAGAAAAGAGGAGATGATGTTCTTCTGTATATATGTTTCTCTTGTTGGTTGATGAATAAAACACTGATTGGTCAGTAGCCAGGCAGGAAGTATAGGTGGGGCTACCAGCTGAGGAGAATTCTGGGGAGAGGGCACCAAGAGAAGCCAGGAGGTGATGCCATGTAGCTACCAGGAAGACACGACATGCCAGGTGTTATCTCTTAAGATAAGGCCATGTAGAAATACATAGATTAATAGTTATGGGTTAATAATTAAGAGAGAGCTAGCCAATTAAGAAGCCTGAGTCATTGGCCAAACAGTTTATAATTAAATATAAGTATCAGTGTGTTTATTTGGGGCTAAATGGCCATGGGATCAGGTAGAACAGAAACTCCATCTAAAAAGGTCTAAGTCATGAACCACAGTATGCATTTGGGTTTGATTCTAGGAGCTGTGGAATTCATCAGGGATTTTTATCAGGAAGTTTGACTTGCTTCAAGACAAGAGTGGATACTTACAGAAGGCTCTGAAGGACTAGGTGAGGAGGGTGACCTTTGGTCTGGGTTTCTGGAACTGCTTTGCTGACTTGAAACATCAGTGAGAACTTCCAAAGGCTCTCTGGGCCAACAGCCTTTGGAGTCAGTGTCTCTCTGGCTTTCCAGTGTCCAGTGAGCTGTCTTTTGAGTAGGAAGATATTCTTGTTATCTGATTTATACAACAAGCCATGCCAAAATTTAGCAGAAATTGCTTAGGAAACTGGGATTTGTCCAAAGCCTGGTGAGGTAGCTTTTCCCTGCCTCACACTATCTCTGGGGTCTTGACTGAGATCCCTGGGATGGCTGGGATAGAGTGAGGGTTGGCTGGGCCTTTACTCTTTCTTCGTATTGTCCCAGATCCTCTCCATGAGGTTCCTCATGGTAATCTTAGGATAGTTATTCATCCCCTCCAGCAGGCCAGGCTCTAAAAGCAGGCAGGTAATTGTTCCAGGAGAGCAGAGTGGGGATCCCATGGCTGTCCTAGGGTGGGGACCCCATGGCTGTCCTAGGGTGAGGACCCCAAGGCTGTCCTAGGGTGGGGACCCCAAGGCTGTCCTAGGGTGGGGACCCCAAGGCTGTCCTAGGGTGGGGACCCCAAGGCTGTCCTAGGGTGGGGACCCCAAGGCTGTCCTAGAGTGGGGACCCCAAGGCTGTCTTGCACTATCTCCAGACATCACACAGTGCGTTTCCACCAGTCTGTTACTCAGGGCCAGCTCTGAATCTTCTTGGAAAGGATCTACAGAGACAAATCAGAGACTGGCCACCGAGAGTTCATTTGACTCGTGTCCTAAGTACGGCACCGTGGGAGAGGGACGCTAGGCAATTCATGCCATGGTCACGTGAAAGGGCAGATTCCCATTTTCCAGGGAGGAGGATGGCATCTGAGAAGAACCGAAGTACTTGGTGTAGCACGAAGGACTTAGGAAAGCTGCTTGCGGATTGAATTTTTAGAGGGCTGACCAAAGTGGAGTCTGGAGGAAGCCAGGTTGCTTTGTGAAAACTGGTAGAGCAAAATGGAGTCAGCCTTGGCAAGAGTAAAGAAAAGCACGGTGCTGAGAGGTTGTGAAGGGTGGGAACTCGTGTGTATCTGCAGCAAAAGACTCCCAGAGCCACAGGCTTGCACAAAGGCCACTGCAAACAGCAAATGATCTCTGCAAGGGCCCATGCCTAGCAAGTTCCCACCTTACCTTGACTCACACCCGCCTTGCTATTGATCTTTGAGGCCAGAGATGATTATTTCAAACAGAATCTTATGTAATATTTTCCACTTATTTTTTTAACCTTTAAAAGCTCTTGTTTTCCTATCCCTCATTGGATATACCCGTGTGTATTCCGACCGCAGTGCTCATTCCTGAATAAATCCGTTATCTTCAGGGAATCTCTCTTTGCTGTGATTTGAGTCTGAAATGCTCCCCACAGGCCCATGTTTGGGATGTTTGTTTCCCATAGTGGGGTAACACGTTAGGAGGCTGTGGGACCCTTAGGAGATGGAGTGTCAGAAATGAGTAGCTCACGACAGCTAGCCTAGCTTCCTCTGCTCCATGGCCCTGCTGGGTGCAGACACTCTGCCACACGCTTTTGCTGTGGAGGTCTGAGCTGCTGTATCTGTCCTCCCTATACATGATGGACTGTGATCGTCTGACACGATAAGCCAGATTTTCCCTTCCGTAAATTTCTTCTGTGAGATATTTTGTCATAGCGACACGAGATGCAACTCCTCATCGCTAGGCTGACAGTCCAGTGAGGAATTTGGTAAGCTTGTTATGTGGTATGTGAAGCCAGTCTCTTCTCTCTGCTTTCAAGAAAAATGAAAGTCAGTAAGTGATTTCTTTTGTTAACACAGTGTGAATATTTTCTGAGGGAGGAATCAGAATCAGATGCCAACTTCAAGGAAGATTCAAGAGATACAGCCCAAGGGAACCTGCCTGCATGTGGGATACCAGAAAACTACAGGAAAACTAAGCAAATGACGAAACCCAGAAATTTCTGTGATCTGCTACTGGCTTATTATGACTACCAGCAAACCAGTGATTATGTCTAACCATGGTATAGCCGAGCTCTGGAGCTCCTTGCCCTCTTTTCTGATCTCTTCCTACTCAACTTCCTTTCTGTCCCAACCTCCTTTTTGCATTGTGGGTTTGGGGACTTAAATATTTTTGATAGCATGGACTCTGCCATACAAATAACTCTCTAGAATTAAGAATTGTTTAGTTACCTGACGTGTATTGAATACTACATGCAACGGAGAACTCTGAGAAAAGATAGAATTCAAAGTTAGCAAAAGATGTAAGTTGAGATGTTCTATGGGATGCTAAGAGGAGGCTGAGAAGTGGTAACACCAAACCCTATTGTCTGGATTTAGAGGGTTTTTAGTATTTTTTTTTCATTGTTTTGTTTTTTTGAGACAGGGTTTCTCTGTGTAGCTCTGACTGTACTGAAACTCACTCTGTAGACCAGGCTGGCCTGGAATTCACAGAAATCTGCCTGTCTCTGCTTCCCAAGTACTGGGATTAAAGGCATGTGCTAACACTGCCCCACTAAAGTACCTTTTTTTTTTTTTTTTTTTTTTTTGGTTTTTCGAGACAGGGTTTCTCTGTGGCTTTGGCTGTCCTGGAACTCGCTCTTGTAGACCAGGCTGGTCTCGAACTCACAGGGGTACGCCTGCCTCTGCTTTCCGAGTGCTGGTATTAAAGACGTGCACCACCACCGACCTGGCTAAAGTACCTTATTTTTATAATCAGAACTATTCCCCAGAGACTCATTTGAAAACTTGGTCCCCTGTTTGGGGAGGTTATGAAATCCTAGGCGGGAGAACCATGCTGGAGGAAGTGCGTCACTGGGGGGCGGGCTTTGAGGGTTAATAGCCTCGCCAGGCTTCCAGCTCTCATTCTCTCTGCTTCCTGTGTGCAGCTATGATATGATCATCGCTCAGCTTCCCCCTGGCCCATGCCTTCTCCACCCTTATGGACATTTAGTCTTCTGGAATCATTAGCCAAAATAAACTCTTACATTGGCTTTTGGTATGTGGCAACAGCAACATAGCAATAACATAGGGTGTTTGTTGGAAGCATTGGAGAGCGAGAGGAGAGGAGAAATGCCTAATGGAAATGGTAGCATCAAACAAAGCCTGAAATTAAAGGTGACATTGGTAAATATCTGGAGTTTAGAGGCTGAATAGGGAGTGATCTCAAGAGTGCACACGCAACCCTTCCATCTGGGTATTTCCTGCAGGGAGCTACACAAAGTAGCAGAAGGTCCCAAGGGCTTAGGACAGTGATACACGGGCTTGATCCTTAGACCTAGAGCATTGGGAACTTGTTAGATGCTTTTCCTCAGAACCACTGATTCAGAAATTATAGGGGACCAGTCTATTCTGTGATTTAGCAAGTCCCTCAGGAGGTTCTGGTGTAGGCTAAATTATGGTAGCACACACCTTTAATCCTAGCACTCTGGAGGCAGAGGCAGTCAGATCTCTGTTGAGTTTAAGACCAACTTGTTCTACAAATTGAGTTCCAGGGAAGACAAAGCTACACAGAGAAACCCTATCTCAAAACTATCCCCTCTACCAAAAATAAAAGGTATTACTAGTGACCAGGAAAAGATAAAGACTAGTTGCTTTTCTCCTTGAAAAGAGTAGAAACTTTGAATATGAAAATATAGTTAATGTTTTTTAAAAGTTTGGAATTATTTTATGTGTGTGGGTGTTTTTGTCTGCATGTATGTCTGTCCTCCATGGAGCTCAGAAGTAGACACTGGATCCTCTGGAACTAGAGTTACAGATGGTTGTAATCTGCTATGTGCATGTTGAGAATCAAACCTAGTCTTCTGGAAGAGCAGCCCGTGCTCTTATCTGCTGAGCCATCTTCCCAGCCCATTTTCAACAGTTTTGAAACAGACTTTGTATAGAATGGGAAGACATGGAGGAAAAATGTCATGAAAAGTGAACTGTGGTTTTATGTGAATCCACTCTTTCAGCCAAAACCGCATGTCCATCTTCTTTGTCAGTCTCCTTTGTCATCCCCGGTAATTCCCAGACGCTGTCACCAGCACGTTTCCTTCTAAAGTAAAGAGATCATGTAAAATTCTTCATCTTCTTATTCATTCACAATGCTTCAGGGCTCGTGGGACAGGAGGTGTTAGTGGGGTCTTCTGCTTGCCTTGTACCTTACCTAGACAATGAGGAAGGTTTGTGTCTGTCCACACACGATCAATCTGTCATAGCTCAGTTCTGTGAAGGCTTTGGATGAGCATCCAGGCATAGGTGCGGCTTCATGGCTATCCTCAAGTAAGCCACAGTCTAGTACATGCAGAACACAGGGTTTTGTTTAGATTAGCACTTTTGAGATGAGAAACTATTTCACATAAACGGTTTTATTTGATCCTTATAAGAACCCCCTGGAGGCAATGTGTGGTGACTGATGGAAGGCAAATCTCTAACCTGTATAGAATGTGCTTGGGCTAACCCTAGAAGGAAATCTTCTTGATTCACAATCATTCACTGCTTGGGTAAAGAGGTGGGTGGGATTTCAGGAAGACAAGAAGGGACTGTGATTATTTCTATATAAAAAATTATTTGTTTGTTTGCATGCATACCAGGCTGGCTTCTGAGATGGTCTGTTGCTGAGAATGAACTTGAATTCCCGACCTCCCTAAGGTTGGGATTTTAGGTCTGACTCATCACACCCATTAAGTATGGTGTTGGGGATGGGACCCAGAGCTTCGTGCCTCCAGGTAAGCACTATACCAAAGGAGCTACGTCCTCAGCCCCTCTAAGAGTGTTCAACTGAACCGCTTACATAAGATGTGCTCTGAAGTAGGAGGAAGAATGTTTATAAAATGTGTCCTTTTAACTGACTCCCCCTCCTACTTTAACAGACCAGCCAGCTTTAGAAGGATGTGCCCACACTCATACACACATAATAAATAAACTTTAATGTAATAAGATAATGGAATGAGAAACACAAAGTTTCTTTTGAGAGAAAGGACAGTCAGAGACAGCCATGGAGGAAAGGATCATAATTAAAAAAATATTTTCTTTCTTCTTTTCAAATTAGCTTATTCTTTGACATTTTCATACATGAATATAATGCATTCTGGTCGTACCCTACCCTCACATGTTCCCTCATCCCCTTTCCAATCCCACCAACACCTTTCTATGCCTCCCAGTATTGTGTCTTTTGTTTTTGTGATCCACCAAGTTTAAGTGAGCTGCATGTATGGGCATGGGTGTGGAGCAAAAGACCCACCAGTGTCTACACCACCGAAGGCAACGAGTCCTTTTGTTTCTTTCTGTAGACAGAAATGCTGAGGAATTCTATTCCTGTTTAGACTGCAGGATTGGAAGCTTATTGTAGAAATGTCATTTAAATTATTGAATTCTCTCTGAGTTGAAAAGTGAAAAGAATATCGTGACTTTTTCTCTTAAGATGAGTTTTTAAACAGCCGTCAGAAGATCATTCCCACCTCTTACAGTTTGGAGAGCAATGAATCAATGCCGTTTGACTTGTGAAAATATTTGTCGCTGATTTATAGTGTTAGTCACTTTCTCAACACTGGCGCCATTATTTCAGACTGTGGCTTTGTTTGGCAATCTGAGTTCTTGTATCCTGAGGCAAAGAGCCAACTGTTAGACTTGGGTTGAAAGCGAGGGGGCTTCTGTGCAGAGAGGGTGAAAACATTGTAAAAGAGAATCCAGTCTTGACCTCATGTTTTGTTTGTTTGTTTGTTTTTAGGTTTTTAGGAAAGACTACAGATGAGCATGGAGGATTTGGAAACTACCTTCATAAAATCACGCAGGGTTCCAAGTTTTCCACACTTTTGGGACATGCTCTTTGGACTACTGACATAGGTGAATTTGGGAACCAGCAGAAACGCAGAACTGGAGGCCCAGCCCAGACCTACGGAAGCAGAATCTGCAATAAGCGAAATCCAAGAGTTGGAAGAAGCACGGGCCAGCTCTTCTCTTCCCTGGTGGTGACTGAGCACCCCTTCGAATATCCAGGGGTCACCTGGCAGTTTCCAGCAGCCAGTGGGGCTGACTTCAGGGGCCTTTTTGGCTCTGCACACCATTCCAAGGCTGCCTATGACAAGCCAGATGGCCCCATGGGATCCCTGGGGAAGTGGTGGCCGATCCGATGTCACCTCCCTGGTACTAGAGATCAGATTTGGGTGAGAGATCCTGTTCCTCTGAGTGTCACTGCAGCCTGGGATTTTGAATCAGTGGATGTTAAGATTGGGCGGACCCATCTGTGTCACAGATAGGCTACCTCCTGTCACCTTGTGAGCATTGCAACCTTGTCCTTAGGAGCACCAGAAGCGGAATACCGCCCCACTCCCCACCCCCACCAAACTTAAAGCCTATTCAAGTAGAGGGTCAAAAGCTGCTATTTCTAGCAAAAAGAAAATGGCTGACTATATTCTTGAAATGATTTTTCTGTGTTTCTGTTGCATTGGCAATCATGCCAGCCCAGCTCGGCCTAGTCCTCTGCCTACCCTCTTGGCCTTGCGTTCATGCTTCCTGTGTGTGGGATTCCAGATCAGTAAACAAGGGTGCCTGGAGCCAAAGCCTCCCTCTTGGGTGTAAACACATGAGTTGTAGTGAAGTTTGGGAGCCCAGGAACAATCTGTGGGAGGAAGTGTTTCTCTGACATCATCCTCACTTTGTCCGTACACCAAGAACAGTCATCCCACGTACAGCAAGGACAATTCGGAGCTCAAACCCTGCCTCTGTGTCCACACTCCTCTGCACGTCCGTGTGTCTGTCTTTAAAATGGCGTCTTCTCAAATGGCTTTGAGACAATTAAATGACACTTAGCACATAAATAGGTAAGTGGATGCTGTATAAAACTGACCGACTTCATCCTTCCAAAAAGAAAAAGGGCCTCATGAAACTGTGGGATCATGGACAGGGTCTTAAACATTTCAGATGATGACGATGGTGATGGTGGTGGTGATGGTGGTGGTGATGGTGGTGATGATGGTGGTGATGGTGATGATGGTGATGATGGTGGTGATGATGGTGGTGATGGTGGTGATGGTGGTGATGGTGATGATGGTGATGGTGGTGGTGGTGGTGATGGTGATGATGATGGTGGTGATGGTGATGATGGTGGTGATGGTGATGATGGTGATGGTGGTGGTGATGATGGTGGTGATGGTGGTGATGGTGATGGTGGTGGTGATGATGGTGGTGATGGTGGTGATGGTGATGATGGTGATGGTGGTGGTGGTGGTGATGGTGATGATGATGGTGGTGATGGTGATGATGGTGGTGATGGTGGTGATGGTGATGATGGTGATGTTGGTGGTGATGATGGTGGTGATGGTGGTGATGGTGATGATGGTGATGGTGGTGGTGGTGGTGATGGTGATGATGATGGTGGTGATGGTGATGATGGTGGTGATGGTGGTGATGGTGATGATGGTGATGTTGGTGGTGATGATGGTGGTGATGGTGGTGATGGTGGTGATGGTGATGATGATGATGGTGATGATGGTGGTGATGGTGATGATGGTGGTGATGGTGGTGATGGTGATGATGATGATGGTGGTGGTGGTGGTGATGGTGATGATGGTGATGATGGTGGTGATGGTGGTGGTGTGACGGATATGACCGTGGGCATGCAAGGGCCGCTAGAACGTGGGTGTCAGAGGACAGCTTTTGAGACTGGATGCGTCAGAGGACAGCTTTTGAGACTGGATTTTCTTCTTCCCTGGATCTGAGCAGATTATCAGGCTTGTGGGGCGAGTTCCTTCCCCACTGAGCCATCCCTCCTGCCTTGGGCAAGGCCCTAAGGCCTCTGGGTTGCTGAGAAAAACCAGGAGGGAAAAGGAGTCTGCAGTGATGAGTCAAGTTTTAGACTTCTCAACAGCACCTAGGTGCTGATAATAACCTGCAATGATGGTGGCCCAGAAGGGACATGTTTCCTCCTTTGGCTGATTGGCCATGGATGAGTGCTAGGGTCATGTCACTGCAAAGGGAGAACATGGACAGACGAGGAGAGAGACAAATGTATTACACGTGACACAAAATCATTCAGTTTTTGTAATGTGAGTTTTCTTGACCTGGCTAGGACCTGCCGCCTTTCTCTGCCCCAATTAAACACACGGACACTATAATAGTATAAAGCTTTTGCCCTGTGGCTAAGGTTCTTATTGGCTAGCTCTGTCTGAATTAACCCATTCCTAATAATCTGAGTTTTTCCACATGATCTTCTCTCACCAGAGAAAGGGTCCTGGCCTATGACTCCTCTCAAGTCCTACATGGTGACTGTTCAGCATCTCCACAGAGAAGAGAGCGATTTCCTGTTTGTCCCTGCTTATATTCTGATGCTGCCCAGCTATGTCACTTCCTGCCTGTCTGTACAGACTTCCAGACCTCTATGGTTAGCTAGTGCCAGTTTCTGCCCAGCTACATCACTTCCTGGGATCACATGACGACTCCTCTCTGCCTACACTTCCCAGAGTCCTTCTTGTCTCCTAGTCCTACCTATCGTCCTGCCTGGCCAATCAGCATTTTATTCATCAACCAATAAGACAAACATGTACACAGGTTTTACTTTCTTCACCTTCACAAATGCCATCTCTAGAAGCCCCACATTGGATTGGGGTGACATCAGTGATGCTGTCATGATGTACTGCAGGCAGAAGCTTGGGCAGAATCACAGTTCTAACTCTTTATTTGGATTCTAGCCTGATGGTCAAGTCCAGGAGAGGGGCCAGTGAGAGGGCTCAGTGGGTAAAAAAAAGGTGCCTACTGCCAAATTTGACGACCTGAGTTTGAGCACTGGGACCCAGATGGCAGAAAGAAAATACAGACTCCCAGAAGCGGACCTCCAAATTCCACTGTGGCACATGTTCACAGCGCACACACCCTAGATAAATAAATAAGTAAATACGTGTCATAATTTTGGAAGTCAAAGAGAAAGCTAGTTGTGGAGAACCTGTGTCACATGTTGTCCCTTATTCATGTGCTCACCTTTTCTTTGTCTCTGTGTCTGTCAGTTCCCCAGACTGGGGATCCTTACGCTCGAGTTGTCTGCTAGCTTTCCTTATGAAAGACAAGCATGCCAGAGATTCACTGACGCCCATATGGCCCGGAGACTTGTTTAAGGGCCTCGGAATTCTTGAACGTGCTCCCTTTACGATATCGTTTCTGTTTATCAGTGGGGTGTTCATTACCTACTTTATTTTCATGTGACATTTCCCAGAGACTTTATAAATGATGGGCTGCATTCATCCCCCTCATGTCCTGCAGAAATCAGGCTTTGTAAAGGCAGGAGAGAGAGAGAGAGAGAGAGAGAGAGAGAGAGAGAGAGAGAGAGAGAGAGAGAGAGAGAGAGAGAGAGAGAGAGTCACAGCTAACAGCTTCCTAATGAGGAAACCATGAACACTGTATCTTCAACATCCAACTCCCGGGTTTGAATAATTCATGGGAAAAAATGTGATGGGCTCGAAGCGACTGAGCTGTTTTAACGAGAGCAGAGTTTGTGAAGTTTTAGAGCTGGAGAGCAACATCATTGGTTTTCATGAGGGACGGAGAGCCGTGAGGACGTCAGCCCAGCACACAGCGAATCCCAGGACAGGGATCTCCTGTCTTCAGTGTTCAAGGTCACGGAGGATTTCAGAGCTAGAACCCAGGCCCTATTCTGCTCTTGTTCTTTGCACTGAACCCCAGAACTTGCCACAGAGACACCAGAGGAGAGTCGGATTCAAGCCCCCTCTGCTGCACTGGTAGCGCGGGGAGAGCACGCCTCCGTTGTTGGTTTCTCTGCAGGCATAGAGCAGAGTCCCCCCAGGGTTCAGAACCCACCCATATCAACCAAAGCAGTCTCTGGTGGGGCCCAGGCCTGGGTCGTAACGCTCACTGGGCGATGCCTACTTCCCCCCAAGTTTGAGAAATCTAGGCGTTCCCTCCTATTCCTTCTTGCTCCCACACTCTCGAAGACTGGATTCCTCCTACTCTCCGTTGCTGTTGCTCTTCCCCTCCTTCCTTTAAAATAAGATAAGAATGGATCGACGGCCCTGGCCTCCTCTGTTTCCTTCCTGCCAACCCTTGGGCGGGAGCACAGTAACCACAAAGTTTATGGTGGGGTGCTGCCTTGTGTCTCCACACAGCCTAGAGATTGCGCCCTGGGCTGCTTTCCTTTCTCTCAGCTGGGCGGAGCCTCTGGCCCCGCCTCCATCCTCTCCAGGGTCACTCCCCAGGGTCTTCTCTGTGTCCCTCTCCCAGGTGACTATTTGCAGACCCTCTCCTCAAGCTTCCCTCCGTGGCTGCCGCCCCCATCAGGCATGAGTTTGGACTAGAAGCCCTTCGGGGAGCTCCGGGTGGCCTCTTCCTGTGATTCATGCTCCCAGAGGGAGCAATCCTCCCAGCAGCCTTTCTTTTTTCCCTTGCTGGCTACGTGTGGGTGTGCAAGCCGGCTTTTGCTGGGGAAAGCTGGCAAAAAAAAAAAGCAAACTTCTCAAGCTTCGATTCTGCACCGCGCAGATTTGTGATTTGTTGGGAGCTGCCTAACCTAGGGGAGATGCCATCACAAAGGTGGCCCTTTAAGATAAACCGGCGGACGATTAAATGTATGGGCTTCAATGTAGGATGCTGTTCTAGCTAAGAGTTAAACCCAGAGGGGGGGCCACCTCTGCTAAGGGTTGCTTTGTGGGCAATGGAGAGAGATTGCGGAGCAGAGGAGAACAGGCTCGAAATAAAAAGAGCCATAAAAGGGGGTGGTGGAGGGGTAGGAGAGGCAAGATGACAGCTGTGTGTTTAACTTCCCAGGATTTAAAGCTCTGAATTATTTGTCCGGCCCTTTTCTGGGCAACCCTGTTGTAGCATCCGTGTTGTTTTAAGCAAGCCATTTGACCCCCAAGGCATTTGTCCCTCCGAAGCTTAGCAAACAGGATCTTAACAGCTGTAGTTTCTTTCTCGGTCTGTTTCCAGGTCCCTTCTTGTCACTTTGTCACTCCCACACTCCCTTGCTCTCTCTTAGACACATGCATAACGTTTTGGGGGTTTTTGTTCTTTTCCCTCCTGGCTATGCTATGAAGCAAATCCAAGTTTTGAGGCTTTTGTCAAAGTAATAATGAATATTACTGGTAAAAATAGCACCAAATAAGATTAACAGCAGCTAAAACTGTATGTAGGGAAAAGTGATTATTGGTGGAAAACCGGATCTTCATTAGAGGTGGACAGTCGCATCTGATTAAGAAAACTTGATTGACATCAGGGCCAGAGAGCATGTCTTAACAGCAGATAAAATTGGGGCTGGTGACAAATCAAATTTTGTGGAAAAAGAATTGGTATCAATGAAAATAACTTTATTAAACTAACGAACAAAAATGCTAAAAACTGGAAATGGTTCTGACTGATCAATGAATCTCATCATTTAGTGATACTTATCCCAGAGGCTACTTGCTTGATAATAAACCATGTTGAGGTCATTCTGATGATATTATTGTTGTCAGTTTTCTGTGAGAGTAAAATAATAGTGGAAGACATTGCGGCTCCCAAGCAGCTGCCTGAAGCAGCAGCAGCAAGAGGTAGGGCTTGGGAATCAGTGTTTGCCTTTAAAATATTCAGTTCCTTATTATTATCACTATTATTTGTATTGGAGGCGGCTCACATCATGGCTGACAAGGAAATGGAGCAGTAGAAACGAGGGTCAGGCAATAAACAACCCTTTGAGGCTTTTCCTTCTGCCGCCTTCAACGGAGTAGACCCTGCTTCCCAAGAGTTTCACAGCTCCCCCAAAATAGTTCCACCAGCTCTGAAACAGTGCCCAAAACAACCTGTAAGGGACATTCCTATTCAAATGGTAACATATCAG